CAAACAGGAATGCAATCATGAAACACAGTACAAACAAAATGCAAACATGGATGCAATCACGAAACCAGATGCAAAACAAATGCAAATAGGCATGCAAAGCAAAATGCGAAATAAATGCAATAAAATGCTCTGAAATGACCCCCAGTCTGTGGCTGCAAGTGCCTTCTAACCCTAACCCCCCAAAAAAACCCTCAAACCTCCAATCCCTAAAACCAAAACCCTAAGACCCAGAACCAGTCTTAGTATGACCAAGCGCCTTAGGCTCTGAGCTGCCACTGTGGCCTCAGAGGAGCTCTCGGCAGTTGTGGGGGTCGCGGGCAGTGTGGTTTGGAGGTGGATCATAAAGGGCAAGAACAGGATGTGAGATGACTTCAGGGTCAGAATTTCAACCTCAACCCTAAGCCCTAAAGCCGGACTTTGTATGCAATTCGCCTAGGCCTATGGACGACAGGCGTCAGGAACAAGCTGACCAGGAATGAGCCTTCTCCCCCTCTCCCTACCCACTCCAAAAGTACGCCACCCATCCCCCCCACCCCTTGGGTCCCTAACTCCTACTCTCCAACTACTGATCGGGGGGGTGTTAGTTTCCCTAAGCAGACGAACCCCAATGTAGACCCCAATCTATTCTAATCCTCGTTATTGGTACCCCCAAAATGGTACCCCTAACTTTCGGAAACCCTAATCCCTAAACCCTATATACCCCTACATAACCCCAATATCCCCTTCAAAGGGATTCCGATATATGGATAGTATCTAATTTGGGGAAACCAGCTGAGGAGACATATTCAGGAAAAACAGATCCCCATGTCTCCCACGTGCTTGGTAGGGAATGAAGGCAACCCCGAAACCCTTAACCCCCAAACCCCTAAACCCTAAACTCTAAATCCTAAACCCCGAAGCCACACCCAAACTCTAAGCCCGAAGTCCCAAAACAATAAACCCTGAACCCTCAATCCTAAACCCTAGACCCTAAACTGGACTATAAGGATTGTAACCCAGGGGATGACGTACCCTAAACCCAAACTCTAAACCTTAAGGATTACTACCTGTAGGCATCTCTACATTCCCTGAATAGCCGCAAGTACACATTTTCAACCTTGACCCTTCGAGTCCGGGAGCTCTGTGAGATAGAAGAATTCTACTCACAATATATAATCCCAGTTGCCATTTAATTGTCCATGCTACCTTCCATTTGATTCTCGCGTTAAACACGATGGAATCCAGTTTGACAAAGCTCCTGCTGTCCCCTGAATTGTGGAGCTAAGCTGCCTCGGAAAGCCGAAGGAGCAGCAGCGCGTAGATCAGCATGGCCTCGTGTTTTGCGCGCTTGTGCTGGGATTGCCAAGGAGTGCGGGGAGGACTTTACAGTGGCGGCCAGGTCCAAGACTGGCCTCCAAACAACTTAAAGGAATCACGAGACACAATCAAGACGATCGAAAAATGGCGTGCCAGATTCTGTTTCTGCCTCTTTTCCAATTTAATAGTACCCTGAAAGACGCAGGCTAACACTCCCTTGAATGACGGAAATCCATCAGCGGCTTTTAAGGGTCCTTGGATGGGTGTGTCGTGGGCCCAGATATCAATAGCTCCCGCTCAACACGCAGCACATGCCAAAGCTCAAGAATGCGCAGGTCTTGCTGCTGGATGCTGCTATGTCGGGCTAAATCAGGGATCCCTTTTTTGCGGAACCCCAAAACAATGATTTTACCTTCTTGGGGTATATAAGGGTCCCCCTATTCTGGAAATCGGTTAAATCGACATAATCACTGTTTAAGTTAATGTTCCGTGTTCTTTTCCATTTGGCTCTTCAAAATACCCCCGAACTCTGCATAGGCCCTAGAAGTCCTATAAAACCCCTATATCACCCCTATATAGCCACTACATAACCGCACTGTAATCCCTGTGTAACCCCCTACATGCCCCCATATGACACCTTTTAGGGACTCACGCTCTGACATAGTGCCTGCCTTGAGCGCAAAGCGCAGGAATGGTGGGCAACAGGCTCGACACCAAAATGGGCTGCGATGACAGTGTGCATCGTTAAAAATGGGATTTCGGTAACCCCAACCTGCAAAAATTCGGACCCTATAACCATCATGTGACAATCATAGGGTCTTAATTTTGGGGGTTGGGGTTACCAACATCCTTTTATTCAATATATTGGGACTGAAAAGAATATTACAAATATTATCTAGTATTATTGTGGTAGCAATAGCATTCTTGTTTTCAATTTCATGTACGTAGTACGTCTTGACTTATGTACATCTTCATTTTCGCAACAGAGTTGGTCGGGTCCGAAATTGCGGTAAGTTTTTGGGATCCGGTTGAAAGGGATTAGAGGCGGACCTGGTTTTGATTCATTGTCATTTTAGGACAAAAAGAGAGCTCAGGACGTACTGCCGTTGTAATAAGGCGTGGGGTGGGGGTGGGAGCGGGTGAAGAGCTTGACGCTAGTTGGGATTTCGGGCGCAGGAAGCCTGCAACAAAGCCTATGTGAGCTTTGATTTAGAACTGGATCCTTTATGAGTGCTGCAGCTGCGTGAAATGAAACTATTCATAAAAGAATGGGGCGCCGCCATTGACTGTAGGCTTTGCGCTGGAAGTTGTAGACTTGACAAGTTCTTTGCACCCCCCAGACACTGAGCTCAAGGTCTAAGAGTCTCCAATACTTCTCCAGGATGATGTTGCTAAAGCCGAATCATACACATGTCCCGATCCTGGCGGGGGCAGTTTACAGAGAAGATGGCTCAGATAAGGAAAATCCTCAGACCAGCCGCCGCGGGACCTGCGTAAGGTACTCTAGGAAACGTCTTCCTGGGCACCACATACCACAAAGCAAGAACAAAGACTGCCAAAAATGCGGGAAACAAGTTGCTACTTGCTCAAGCTTCTACGTTCCCCCCACCCCCCTCTCTCCCTGCTGCAACAGCGCCTGGCCTCAACAAGTTGATGCGTTCCATCGTGTGCACAGTGACTCCACGGGCTTTAGCTTCTGGGCTATGCAAGAAGTCCTGACTTAAACAATAGGGGAATGCTGCCATGTCATTCCCTGCCGCCGCGTTCAGCAGGTGATGTATGTAATGCCGCTTTCGGCTTTGGGGGGATTCAGTCTGAAATTCTGATTTGTCATTTATGGCTTCGGTTAGTACGGGTTTAGGGTCACGGGGTTTCGGGGTATTGGGTCCAGGGTTCTCGATTTCAGCGTTGCCCGTGTCAATGCGACATACAACGGCTCTCTTAAGACTTGATGCTTGAGCAAGACCTTGGAAGATCTCCTGGCGAGCCAAGGCTTGGGTGAAGTGCGCATTCGCGGTAAAGGGGACATGCCAGGTTGAGCCTGAGGCCTGACATATCCTGCAGCAGGGCGTTCCTTTTGATGAGCTCTGACAAAGCATATGAAGATTGACCCAAACCCTTATCTTCAGGTTTGAGGCTTGGCCGCACTCCTATGACCATTTCAAATGCAAAACGAAGGTGCATGATACCCTTGTTCTTTTAACCTGTTGCTTGCTGTCGTTGTCTAGTATTTAGGGTCTGGGTGAGGAGGGGGACTTAGTAAGTCGGTTAATCATGGCGATAACAGGGTTATCATGCAACTTAAAAATATCATAAGTATACCTACTAAGTTGCCCTGACACGTCAAGTAGGGTGTTATGGGATGATTCGCGTGACAAAAAACCCTGCGTCTGCTCCTCAGTTGAAGCTTGCCATGAATTCCTCCTTACTCTGAATGCCCCAAACGGCGCCTTTTAGCCTCAGAATCAATTGGGATAACATAAGGAGATATCAGGGCATGTGGGCTGGGTTAGGGTACTGCATGGCGGAGAATGAAATGGAAACGCAAGTCTAAAAATGCAGGCTGGGATCCTGAACCAAGCAATCCCAGATCCTAAGCAATCAATCCTGCACCCGAATTCGAGCAGCCCATTCTGACTCCAAATATTCTAGTCCAGATCCTGTCGCGCATCCCACCACCATAAAACTCTTGACTGTCAAAAGAAACCAAAACTGTCCAGAATACACCTGGAGCTGGCGGGGGGGGAGTGATTGACCTTATCGCGTTCGTGCAGCTCATCCAGCACGACGTGGGTTACCTTGCGGTATTTGAGGGACAGGCCCCTTGCCATGAGTCCTCAACCACCCCACGGAGGACTATTATATATAGGAGGATATAAGGCGATGTTGGGGGATATATGGGGGATCTAAGGCCAATGGAAAAGAAAATGGAAGCTACTGTTTGGGGTTCAGGGCTTCTAGTGTGGACCCAGAAACCTGTAGGCTTAAGGACTGTGGCTTCCGGCTGCGGAGACACGGCGAAGTTGCTAGTGTGGACCCGCTATGTCCATCTCGTTTTCTCAGGTTGAAGCAGTCTAAGGCTAGAACCGGGCCCGGAATCCCCTCCCCAAACGACAACACCCCTCCACATAATAGTAGACACCCCCGTTATAATACCATTATGTATTTGAGGCCAGATTCATCATTGTGGGGGACAGGGGGATAGAACACGAATATGCCCAACCCTGAATGGTAACATCCCTTGAAGCATAGCCGCCCTCCCACAAAGTTGCGTAAACCTGTGGACTGCGAAAGTGGTTCTTTGCTTTCTGGGTTCCCGGTATGCACACTCCAAATCGTATCCCCTGCTTGGAGGGTCAGGGGGACTTTGTAAGTAGTTTAATTCAGGGGATGACTGGGGCTGTTATGTGGCCTATAGATATACAGGTCTACATGTTCATATATATATATATGAATATGTAGACCTGCCACGAAGCAAACCCACATGCGTGTATACCTGTAGCCCTCGCAACTTTAAAAACAAAATCATATAAAGCCCAATATACAATAGTAGTTTCCATTTTATTTTCATTATACCCAACATACCCCCATTATACTGTAGTAGCTTCCATTTTCTTTTCCATTAATCACTGTCCCCCACCCCCTTTCAACTCATGGGGTTCCGGGCTGTCGTCAGATGAGGCTCCTGGCAGCTTATACTGAAGCTTCAGCGGTTTGGATTCAGGGAGCCGGGTTTAGGGGGTTTAGGGTTAAGGGTCTTGGGGTTTAGGGGTTTAGGGTGTAGGGTTTAAATGTTTAGGGTTTAAGTCCTGGGCTTGAAGGTCCAGGGTTAGGGTTAGTCGTAGGGATTTATGGCCCATTCTACGGCTCAGGTTTAGGGTTTGAGGTCCAGGCTTAGGCTTTCAGCGGTTTAGGGTTTAGGGTTTGGGTATGGACGCTGCAGGGAGCATGTTATAGGCTATTTATGGGTGGCTTCCTCAAAATTACGAACTACAGGATTCTGAGGTGACCCCTTCACGGATTCCATAATGTGGGAACTGTATGGGCGCTAGAAAGCAGACTGACAGGGCGCTACCATATTATCAAAAGACTCTGCGAGGATGTGTGTATATGGGTATACATCTACATATATGTGTTTATAGCACTGCATGTCAATCACGTCGGCATAGGTGGGCATTGCAAAGGAAATCATTTGGTCCCGCAGCAGCTTAGCGAGTGTCCTTGCAACAAGAACCTCATTTCCCACATGTATGCGGGTAAACCTATCCTGAGAATCCAGCCAAGCACGAGTTCTGGGAAGGGGTTTGGAGAGTCTGCTGTGCAAAGTTACGCAGTGCCTGGGTTCGTGGTACTGAAAATATGCGAACAGCGCACCTTACCCAGTATTCCAGTACGTTTTGAAGGCCGACAGAAACGCAATGTCCCAAAAAACATCTTCTCAAAGGTAGCCTTCTGCTGCCCAGGAGAAACAAAGGAGCCCAGAGGTACTGCTCCAGTGTGCTTTCATTGCTTGCTGAAAACCTAGTTTCAAGCCTGAGTAAGATGTAGCGTTTCCGGGTCTAGCCTCACATCCAAACATCCAAGATTCGCACAGAGTAGATATGAGCCATACCTACAACAATACAATCAAGCTCATGTGAACGGGTGGCAGCTTAATATGTCAAGACATAGCAAGAAACCGTGATCGTTGGTCGCCCTCAGCCAAACCCCTCGAAGCCCGTACCCTAAGTGGCTGTCTACCTTGGAATATCGTGCATGTTTTCCAGAACTCAAGGCTTTCAAGACCTGAAAAATCCACATCCTGTACCTGGAGACAGAAACCTTGAACCTTAAGCCTGGTTTCAGAGTCTCAGACCTGAAATTCCACGTACCTTCCTCATACTTTTTCTTGCCTTTTGGAACCAGTCCCTCTATCCCACCTCTAGCAGACGGCGTCGCAGCACTCCGGAAGTGCAGATGAGTAGCTGGGTCTGGGCTGAACCTCCGTAGAAGATCAGGTTCACACCAGCTTTAGT